GTTTTATGTACATAATGTACATTTTACAATGTACATAATGTACATTTTACAATGTACATAATGTACATTTTACAATGTACATAATGTACATTTTACATTATGCTCTTGTTCTTATGCTCATGGCTCTGTATGTAAGATGGTTTCTGAGAATATCATCATATAATTGCATTGTTCTCCAAATATGTTTCTTTTGAGGTCTAATTAAAACAGTTTGTAGTACATGGCTGATACAATGTACAATGCATGCAATTTGTTTACCAAGGTAGGATATTTTATTCTTTCAAGCAGCAATTTAAAGAAAGATTTGATTTCTGAGCTGCTGTACTATTCATTATCCTAATTTATCCTCATTGTGGCCTCCGAGGCCACAGTTTTGATGAATGTTTGCTTGCGGAGTCTTCAGAATCTTTAAGGCACTGTTTTATAGGCAAAATTACTGAACAAATTAATAGACAAAGCTCCTATGAAGCACTCAAGCTAAAATTGGGATAGCATGAGACTTCCCTAAAAGTTTATACACTTTCACGGTCCTTCTCAAGATTGGTTATCTCTTTGGTTTGATTTTTTGCATTGTACCTTCTTACATTCCCCACAAGCAACCTATTCTATCTCTACCTTTAAATGCTTAGAGTGTTTTCAAATACAGTAATAATAATAGTGAGTGTCCTTAGTGCAAGATGCTGGCTATGGGCTAGACTCTATGCCAAATAGTCTCATTTATATTCACGTTACCACCTAGAGATGTAGGTGATCTCACATTCATTTCTCTTGTACGAACACCAAGTCACAAGAGGTTAAGTTCAAGATTTGAACTCAGCTCAGCCTGTCTTCAAAACTGACACTTTTTTCCCCACCCTGGAGATGGTACCCCCTTCTGTAAGAAACGGGTCATCTTCACCTTTCAAATACAAGGTTCTTAAGCTTGTTCCCTCTATTTAATCACAAACACTTAGCAAAAGAGATGCTGTTCTTTCTTCTTTAATACACAGAGCAGCATCAGAGGCATTTTGACTGCCTGTGGGAAGGCAAGAGGGCACCGACTTTGGACTCAAAATATCTGAGGCTAGTTTCTAACTCTAGGGGTTTACAAGTCTACTTATGCTTACCCTGCACTTTCTTCAGTTGTCAAAGAGGATCACAAAACAGCTATCACACGGGGCTGTTGATTAAATGAGATTTTCACATCAGCATGCAACATGCTTGGGGAAACTTGCCACAAACCAAGCACTCAAATGGTGGTCCTGTTTTGATAATACATCTTGGTGTCAATTTGAATTGAGTGAGGATCCCCGTCCATATTTGGTAAAGACTTCACAGTCTCTTGGGAACATTCCTTTCATGGTCGTACTCGGAACTAACATAAAGAAAAGCGACCTTTTCTCATTCTTCTGCTTGAAGTGGGACTCAGTGTCATGCTACAAACCCATTGTCTCGTTACACGTTCTGAAACAAAGTAAGGTATAAACCTTGGTTGCTATAATGGGTTTACATTTGGGGTAATGAAATTTACAGAGACCCCTGCTGGCATATCACCTTGGGTGAAACCCTTTGGGGAGGTAGAATTTCCTAGCGCGGACGCTCTGTACAGTCAGGTTTCAGAGGAGATGATTGAACTGGTGTATGTCAAAATTACGAACAGTATTTGTATCAGATTCCTATTCTGCTGTAACACATTACCGCAAACTGACAGACTTACAACAACATATTATTTATAGTTCTGTAGGTCAGAACTCCAAAATGAGTTTCAGCTAATTAAAATGAAGGTTTCGGGAAGACTGCATTAGTTCTGGAGGTCTAGGGAAGAAACAGTTTTCTTGCCTTTTCCAGATTCTAGACATGACCTGACTTCATGAAAGAGTCTATGATGGGGTCTTCATAAAACTCACCCAAATGATTGAAAAGCCAATGCATATTTTGGTCTTTGGGAACCTGGTGTAGGTGGGTTTTAATCTTGGAGTTGGAGAGTGGGGGAAGGTAGGCATTCTTTTTGTGATGGCATAGCCTAACATATTATCATAATATCCAGCAAGTACTGCTCTATTCTATTCAGTGACTACAGACTTTCAGAGTCATGAAATTCTGAATTTGTGAAAAAATTTGTAGGTCACCTAGTTTAAACTGCTACTCAAGAAGTGTCCCCTACAACAGAACCTCTCACACTTTAATACGCACATTAATTATCGGTGACCTTGTTAAAAATACAGATTCTGATTCAGTAGGTCTGGGATAGGGCCTGAGAACCTGAATTTCTCTCTTTTTTTTTTTTTATTAACATACAATGTATTATTTGTTCCAGGGGTACAGGCCTGTGATTCATCAGTCTTACACAATACACAGTGCTCACTGCAACACATACCCACCCCAGAGTCCATCACCCAGCCATCCCATCTCTCCCACCCCCCCTCCACTCCAGCAACCCTCAGTTCATTTCCTGAGATGAAGAATCTCTTACAGTTTGCATTTCTAATATGCTCCCAGGAAACTCCTGGTCCAAGGACCACACATTGGCTAGTAAGCTTCCCAAGCATTCCTGACAGATACTGCTGCCTTGGGGATGGTTCTGTTACAGTCTTTTCTTTGTATTTTGGTAATTCCAACTGTCACATGCAATTGTTTTTTTCTTGTATCAAAGCCAAACTAAAAATATATGTAAAATTTGTCTGATTAAACCAAAATAACATTGCAATTGAAGGGAACCTTAAAAAGTTGAATGTGTATGCAGGATCCAAACAGTTTTATGTTATATAGAGAAATATATACATACATGTATAAATATATACACACACACATGCATATGTGTGTTTATAGGTGTGTGTGTGTGTATATATATATATATATATCATATCCATGTTAAATGATTCTGAAAAATCTCAAATTATATATTTTGTGGAACTGACTCAACTTTAACATTTCCCTTTACATTAATTTTTATGAGAAAATAAAAAATCAAAGGGTGTAAATTTGAACTGTGCTATAGATCCAAGCATGAGTCTAAATGTAATGTTTCTAGCCTTCTGCTTAATTAAGGAAGCCAACAGCCAGCCAACATCGGTTGGATTGAATTGAGCTAACGTGGACCATGTCACTAGCTCTCACTTCAAAGCCAGAGTTACTGGCTCTAATGTTCAGATTTAGCTACTGCACACCTTAATTCTTATTTAATATTTGAAAGTTATTACTTTGGAGAAAGTCGGCTAAGCAGTGGTGATTATAGTGTATCAAAATCCATTGTAGGTGATTATTTTAATGACTCTGTACCAACAGGGACACATAGACATTCAGACAAAAAACAACCTAATTATAATGACAGCACCAAAGTGAAGCTGTGACAGTTACAAAACCAATTTAAAAGTTTTTTTGACAGCCATGGCTAAAAGCTTTGTTTGGATCTTTCAGTAATAACAGTTTACTTAAGACACAAATCCACAGCTAAGGAAAATAGAAAGAGAGAGTTGTGGCTTTTCTGTCATGCAGATAAAGAACTCAGTTGAAATGTTTTTAATAGATTATGTTGAAAAGAGTATAGAAAGGGAATAATTGTTATGGAACGCGACTCTCAGAATTCAAGAGAGACCAAATAACAATACAAATTCTAATGAGAATAGAAACGTGCCGACTGATTTGCTTATCAGGTTTATGAAGGTCAGTAGTTCCTGCGAGGAATTGATGTGCCTTTAAATATGTCGATTGGCAGTCCTGGAATTTGATTTCATATCACCCGTAAAATAAAGTCAGAGGCACATGGATGTAATGCTTCCATAGCCACAGTGACAAAGACCCCTACTAAGTATCTGCTTTTCTGATAACTCCGACATCTCTCAAATTATTAAATCTTATCACTTTTATTTATCTCCCTTGGTCCTGGACTCCATCAAATATAAGACATAATTAATTCTTTGACCTGGGGCAGTTACCTTGCCATTCTTGGACGGGAAAAAAAAATGCCTGGATTCACAGAATTGCACTTATTTTTATTGCAAAGTTTTATAGAACATTTAATATGCAAACCCTGCTCTAAGTGCTTTACAAATACTGACTTATTTAAAATGGTAAAAACCTTTGGAGGGGCTACTGTTATCTCTGCTTTACTGATGAGGAAGATAGAAGCTCAGACAGGCTTAGCTAACTTACCCAGGGCCACAGACCTTGGATGTGGTCGAATCTCTGCTCCATGCAATTTGGCTCTGAGCCCATGTCCTTAGTGTTGTACAAGTGCGAGGTATTGACGGCCGTGCGAAGTCACATGTGTGGGCTCATAAGACAGCAGCTCAGAGGACGCAGCCCTGTTTCTCTTTTCCCATCCCCAGGTTCTACTTTCGTTAGGTGATTTTCATTGCAAAAATGGAAGTGTTCTCAGGTCAGATTACATGTAAGGATCCGTGCCCCCACATGCCAAGAAGAAACAAGACCTCCACACGTGGCAGCGTTAGTCTCCGGGCAGTTGATGCCCGGATGGGATTTAGTGGTGTGTTGTTACACACTCAGGTCCTTTCCATAAGCCAGCTTCTCTCTCCTTTTTTGGCGAGGCCTTCAGCCTGTCCTCTCTCCTTTTATATATTGTCTACCCCACCATGAAAGGACTTTAGACAGACTTGGATATGGAGCCTACTTCTACTGTGCACTTGCTGTGTGATCTTGGGCAAATGACTTAATCTCTCTGAACTCACTGGAAAAACTGAGTAATGTATCCCGCTGTGTAGGGCTACAGTGGAGCTGAAAAGAACTAAAGTAAATAACATACTTAGAGTGTGGCCGGGAACTTTGTAAGCATTGAATACAAGCTAGCCATCATAATAAGAGTCATTATTTTTGAATGCCTAATTATGTCACCTCGGTGTAGCCCATAGACTTGGGTCCAAATTGTGGGTCCACCTCCAAGACTTGTGTGATAGTGAGAAAGTTATTTAACTTCGCCGAGCCTCTGTTTTCATTTAAAATTGGGGTAACTTCCCAGAGCGGTTTCTGTTTTTGTTTAGAGTTTGTCTGTTTTCCCTCCTCAGCAAATGATGCGGTCGTCCGTTTTCCACATGTTCATCCTGAGCATGGTGACTGTGGATGTGATAGTGGCCGCGAGCAACTACCACAAAGGAGAAAGCTTCAGGAGGCAGTACGACGAGTTCTATCTCGCAGAGGTAAGCGGCCAACTCGGGGGCACATCAGTGTGCAAGGTGAAGGTCAGCCCCAGACGGTGCCTTTTACAAGTAGGAAAATTTACATCAGTTCCTTAAGTACTTGACTTTGACCAAAGCTGATTCATTGTCTGCTTCTTAAATGTTTCTTTGGTCACTGTGTTGCCGGGCTCATTGTCTGTCACCCTCAGACTGCGTGACTTCGTGTCACGTTGTCAGGGAAACTCCTCTCCCCTACTCTTACTTACTCTTCCGAGCTCGCTCTCATGTGCCCCGCCTTTCTCACTTTGTGTTAGTCTGTTTCCTACTAAGGGTAGGCAAGCACAGATTCAGAAGACCATAAGTAAGCCAGTCAGCTCAATAATACCATGGAGAGGGCAGGAGGGAAATTGAACAATGTGATGTGATCATTTCTGTGCTAGAAACTGAGGTGTTACCACCTGCTCTGAAGATACCAAGGAGCAGGTAGGTTTAGTGATTAAATAAGCATCTTCTAGCACCCTACATACCATCCTAGAGTTTTGGAATAGTTCTTCTTATCAATCGAGTGCCTTTGTTAATATAGTTGATTCTTAAATATTTTAATGGCATCCAGAGACCACTTTTTTATTGTGAAAAATTATTTCTGATACACATCAGAATTCAGTGATACACGTTTATGGAAAAACTGGTTGACATATAACTCTTTCAAAACCCTTTTATCTTTGAAGTTAGGTATGCATACACAGCTGAACTACACTTTAAGAAATAGGATATATGGGGGCACCTGGGTGGCTCAGAGGGTTAAGCCTCTGCCTTCGGCTCAGGTCATGATCTCAGGGTCCTGGGATCGAGCCCTGCATCGGGCTCTCTGCTGGGTGCTGAGCCTGCTTCCTCCTCTCTCTGCCTGCCTCTCTGCCTACTTGTGATCTCTCTCTCTGTGTCAAATAAATTTAAAAAAAAGAAAGAAAGAAATAGGATATATGAAAAAGTAAACTTAAAAGACAGAAAAATAATAATTTAACTACTTTTATTATAAAAGCATTTTCCATGTTAAAAAAAAATCAATTTGCCATATAGTTGAGTTCTCTAAGATATCTAGAATTCTTCCAGTACATTTAAAGATGGATTTGGTTAATAAAAATTCAATCCACTCACACATAAACTTTTCAGGAAAAGAATTGATGGCATATACCTATTGAATGTTAACATCCATGTGGGTATCAAGAAATTTTTAAGGAGTCACCTGTGAATTCCCCTCTTCTTGGAGGTTTGTTGTATGTAAGAAAATATTTAGATTAAACTTCTACTGTGATGTGATGCTGCCTAATTACGGTGTGGAATATGGAGCTTACAGTTTAGCAAGAAACATAGACAGTAAACAGCAAGTGTTTTATGCTGTGGAGTACCAATGACAGGAGCTCATGAAGAAATTATATACAGCCTGACACTTGAAAAATGGGTATAATTTTGCTATAGATCCAGCACACAATGATTGAATTGTCATTAAAAGCACAGAAAAACATGGGCCAATAGTAATATTTGCAGGTGAATTTCTAATGCAAGGATTCGAACATTGAAGGAATCCCAGTCAAGAGATTTCTGTCTGGAGTAGAAAGCAAGGTCTATATCCAGCCTTATAATAAGACTATCAAATGGCAAGGTATGGACCCTGTGAAGAATGTAAAATTAAGGCAATTAAAGATACATTAATTCCAATGCTAAAGACCCAGCTGAATTTTGAAGCTACAAATTCATAATGATACCAATTTAGATAGGTCTGTGCCTTTTTTAGCCTCTCATAAAAAGGAGAAAGGCAACACTGAGACTGAGGCAGCTCTGGAGATTTTCCAGGCTGGTGGAGCTGAGAGAGCTAGAGAAAGTTTTGGGTTTTTGGTGCAAAATGGTGGTTTATTAAAGCAGAGGGACAGGACCATTGGGCAGAAAGAGCTGCCGCCCCAGGGTTGTGAGGGGCGGCTGCTTACATAATTGGGAGTTGGGGGAACTAAGGAAAAGGGAGGTTTCAAAAGGATTTTCTTATGTTAAAGAAGACTCACAGGATAGCTGAGGCCTTGTCATTGTCAAGTTAAGGTTGTTTTTCCTTCTAGCAAGCCATTAACATGAAGATAGTTGTGAGCTTCCAGGAGGAACATTACACTCTACTGGCTTCAAGTGTCTGTCAATGGCCTGCAGGTTATAAGGAAAGTGGGACCAAGAATTTAGGATTTCAGAAAAATTCTGGATAACTAAACATAAAATATGAAGTGTTACATGGTTGTGATTGTCTCAAACATAATGATGGAGTCCAGGCAAGATGGCAAGGAGCTATCAAACTAAGATGTTGGCTAAAACCTTCACAATGACATTGAACTCATTCTGTGTGAGGCCAGTTCTTGGAGAAGGAGTGTAGGCAGGGGCACGCAGGAAGGCCTGATGGAGACATTAATGACTGGCAGCCACAGGGAGGGTCAGATGAGAGGATGTCTTAAACTGATGGAATATACCTTAAAGGGTGTTGAGGAGTAAGAGACAAGAAGACATCTCCTCCTCATCCACATGCTATCCTCCATGGGCCATGTGGGACACTGGAGCATGAGCATCCCCTTCTGGAAAGGGCTGTGAGGAAGCCGTGCACTGGGACAGAACCAGCTGAGGCAAGGACATGGGAAGCAGATTCAGTGAACAGGGATAAGTCAGCAAAGTTTTTCTTAAAGAGCCAGATAATAAACAACACAGGCTTTTCGGGCCACATGCTCTTTGTCTCAGCTACTCAACCCTACCGTTGTTGTACAGAAATGAGTGTGGGCTCAGAGTGGTGGTGTTCCAATAAAACTGTATTTATAAAAATAAGCAGTTGTTCTCAACTTTGGCTTGAACTATAAAAACAGAGAGTATGTCAACTAACATCTTTATGGGTTAAATTCAAATATACTAATACTAACAACAATAATAACTGCCATTTGGGGGAAATTCTATTATGTTCCCAAGTACTTTAAAAGAATTCATTGCCCTATTTACTTCTTAAAATAGCTGTAGTAACAGAAATTCAAGTGTATGGGCTATCATGATTCAGTATTTAAGGCAATAGCATATTATGATATTTTAGAAAGTTTATTTTTAAAATAGATCACACATGGCCCTGTGCTTTCAGAGAAGTAATTTCTTGAGTTCCCACAAATTCCAGGATAATTTCAAAAATCCAAAATAGGGACGCCTGGGTGGCTCAGTGGGTCTAGCCTCTACCTTCGGCTCAGGTCATGATCTCAGGGTCCTGGAATCGAGCTCCGCATGGGGCTCTCTGCTCAGCAGGGAGCCTGCTTCCCCCCCTTTCTCTGCCTGCCTCTCTGCCTACTTATACTTAGTAGTTATTAAGTACTTATTAAGTACTGCCTACTCTGTGATCTCCCTCTCTCTGTCAAATAAATAAATAAAATCTTTTTAAAAAATCCAAAATAAACCACTGTACCCGTTAGAATCATCTTGCAGTCTAAAAAACAACTTTTAAGCACAAATTAAGCTGCTTAGCTTCTGTTATATAGTTGGAGACCAGTTTTGCTACTAACCTAAATTTAAAAATTAGTTAAGAAACAGGAAAAACTTTTCTTTGTTTTTTTTAGGCTATGTATACATGTGAAAAGATGAATTTGCTTTCTTTGGTAAGAGTTTTCATTTTTAATTCTGATCTAAGATTAAACATTGTTAGTAGTATTATACACAAAATCACATTTTTATAATGAATATAAATGGATAGTCTCGTTCTCTTAAGTACTAAAACTTGAACAGTACTTTTTTCTTGTTGTATAAAAACATATAAATATAAAGGTGTATCTGTCAGACTATACGTTTAACAGAAACTTATCAGCACAGTGTTATGCACAGAAGATTAACAGTTTTAACAAAATTCCTTTTTTTTTTTAAGATTTTATTTATTTATTTGACAAACAGAGATCACAAGCAGGCAGAGAGGCAGGCGGGGGTGGGAGGGAGCAGGCTCCCCGCTGAGCAAAGAGCCCAAAGCGGGCTCCATCCCAAGACCCTAAGATCATGACCAGAGCCAAAGGCAGAGGCTTAACCCAATGAGCCACCCAGGCACCCCCAAAATTCCTCTTTTAAGAAAGTCACAAATTGATGGGAGAGCTAGCACAATGAAGCCAGCAATAAAGAACAGCATTTCTGGTCAGGAGAGAGGTTTACTTTGTTTAAATCCAAGATGTCTCTCTGGTTTCCTGTTTCTCTATGGCAGCTGTGTGTTTGAAGCAGAAAGGCTTTCTTAAAGCATGGACTATTTGCCATCTTTCAAAAACTAATCTTTTCTAGAAGAGTAGCTTCTGTGTCCCTCTGAGGACATTTGGCTTTATGATATTTGTTAAAATAAAATTAAATGAAAGACCCATTTATTTAACTTCCAACAAAATCTGACACCCATATTTCACCTCATTAATCACAAGAAATGACCAAATTAAGAAAGTGACACATTTGCCATAACAGCAGTCTTTCAGATTATCATTAAGTTTAATTTCCTTTTTGGAAAATTTTCATTAAATAAGCTTTTTCTGACAATAATATTTTTGGTCCTTTCTTCCAAAGGACTTGGACAGGACCCTGTTAGGTGAAAAATAATATAATTATGACCTTTTCAACTATTCCGTGATCCATTTCAGAAGTTTACTATTTATGTGGAATACTGAAGGTACACTGTAGGCTAAGAGCAGGTGATTTGCAGACACCTCTAGAGGGATGCAGATAAGCATTTATTTTGATGTTATTTAATCTGAATTTCATTTAGGAGAAGAGAGTTACCTGAATTGGATATCTTATGACTTGTGTTCTCTAATCTTCTTTTGTGACAAATTTGCATTCATTTTCTCATTAATATCCATTATGTTCCTATGGAAGTGTGAAATAGAGACTGAAACACAAATCTTGGATAACATATTTCAAGTATCTTTCCTACATTTGGGCAGCATCTCTACCATTTTATCTTCTCAGACCCACACGGCACAATCAGCTCATTTATAATTTGT